CCCCAAAGCTCTTCTACAGCAACCAGCTTGCTGTAAATGCTCACAAATCATAGAAGCTGCCCATCTGTCGGCCAAGACCCAGAGCTGAAAAGAATTCTTCAAGCTTGTTAGTTACATCAGGTCTCTTCTAGCTCTCCCCCAAACTGGGTCCCTTACCTTGCAGCTTACCCATACCTAAAGACCTAAAGAATGCATACTAATTTTGATGTTAGGGTAAAAAATGGGGGGGGGGGGACTTAAGAGGAAAATAGATTTTTTTACTTGTAATGATTTTTTTCCTTTATTGATTAAGGTATTACATATGTGTCCTTATCCCTTCATTGCTCCCCCAGTTCCCCACTCATGCCCTCACCCCCCTGGTGTCTGTGTCCATTGGTTAGGCTTATATGCATTTAAGGAGGGGGGAAAGGGGTGGTGGAAAGTTAATCCTCCGGGGTCAGGAGTCAGATTTCCTTACTGGGATTGGAGGGGTGAGATAATTGCATTAGGGTCTTCCCAGACACCCCGAGGCTCAGCAGTGTGGGAGAGGGTCTAGGATTTCCTTTTGTTGACTGGTGGTTACGGCTTTTTAGTTGATGTGCCCATGCTCCCCAGTCACTTTGGGGCTAAATATCAACTTGCTGAGACTGGGTGGTGGCTCTCAGCAGCCTTATATATTGGATTTTTAGGGAGACATATCATTCTCATATGTCTACTGCTCATCTTACATCTTTCTATGTTATCTAAACAGCATTTATGCTGAGAAATAGAATGGAGGTGAAGAAAGTACATATAGATATTTAAAACTCAAAATTCCTTCTCTTATTCTCCTCCAACCACCAAAATTATCTCAAGCGTACAATTAGTGCCTGATTGTTATCAATGTTAAATTAACATTAGTCGGTAAAGTTATTATTAAAATCTTTGAAACTTACAATTTGTCGTCATTTCTTTCTTGTCCTTTATTTTTCCCACACACACAATCAGGTATTGGGTGATTGACTTGTTCTAACCAAGCAGCAAAAGCCAGACAACCCAAGAGGTGTTTAATAAACACTTGTTGACTGATGGATAGAATATACCGACAGAGGATCTCCCGGACAATGCACTCTTTGTCAGAGCATGAAGGTAAATCAGTGGATCCACTTTTATTACCAAGAGTTCTTGCCATATTGAGGAGAGCAGGGCAGCTGGAAACTCGTCCATCAACCCTGTGACTCAGGCTCACAAAAGAAACCCTCGGGGCCTTACCTATCACAGGTATTTTCACTCTCAGCAGCAGAGATGGGACTAACTGGGCTAAACAATGCTGAGCAGCTGGAGGCAGACCCAGCCATGACACCACCCAGGACTCCTTCCTACGAATATCACCAGAGCCGCAACTAACAGTTTGCACACATTAAAAAAAAACAAACCCTGAGCTGAGTAAAAGGCAGCAAAACAGTGTTGTAAGTCATCTGCAAAGCCCACCTGAGTCTTCCTGCCTTATTCTTTTTTTTTAATATATATTTTATTGATTTTTTACAGAGAGGAAGGGAGAGAGATAGAGAGTTAGAAACATCAATGGGAGAGAAACATCGATCAGCTGCCTCCTGCACACCCCCTACTGGGGATGTGCCTGCAACCAAGGTACATGCCCTTGACCGGAATCGAACCTGGGACCATTCAGTCCCCAGGCCAATGCTCTATCCACTGAGCCAAACCAATTAGGGCAAGCCTTATTCTTCAGAGAGAAACCAAAGCAGGAAATAGCAAGTTTTGGGCTCCACACAGCAGGGAGCAACTATAGCCATCAGGTTCAGCCAACCATTCCAGAAAGAATGCCGGGCACGTGACACCTCTCCTTCTCCTTACAGCCACTTCTTGCTTTCCTTGCTGGGCCTTTGGGTTGGACCTCCCGCAGATTTTGTGAAATGAGCTGAGTGACCTTTCCTCTGCTCTGCTCTGCTCTGCCCCTGGGGTCCATGCCCTCCAGGCCTGACTTTGGATCCATAGCTTTCCCTAGACTTTGCTACTGACCGTGCCAGCTGTCTGGTACCATTGTACCTGGGAATCTGAAAGGTCCCCAAACTATGTTTTCAACAATCAACATGCCAGCAGTTACACCAACCTTCCCATTAATCAGAATCCTTTGCCCCTTGCAGTGTTACCAACCCACTTCTCTGCTCATAATATATTTTGTCCTTTTGAGAAATGAAAAATGTAAACAAATCAATATGCCTTCCTTCCAGAAGAGAAAACGCATGCAAGATTGAGCCTCGTCAGTCTACCATAAAGAATTCTCCTAAGCTCCATATCCAAATCCTCTTCTCCCAATTCTTGCTTGGGATCTTGAGTACCTGATCTTGAATTTCTGTGGCGCTCCCTGAGCACGGGACTGGCTGGTAGCCATGTGATATTGATTTGTTTTCACCATAGCAACAGCAAATTACAACAACTAGCAGAGAGAAGGCAGGCTGTTAACCGGTAAAGCTGCATAACCAGTATAGTTTGCAAGCATATTTTCCTCCTTTCCTCTTATTTGCTCTCTTCTTCATTCTACTTTCACAAATTTAATGCAAAAGTCAAAGCAAAAAAATAGCACTAAATGCTTTGAGGCACTACAAAGCCTAAGTCTGAAATAGTCTGGTGCACACAGCTCCTGGTATATTACATTAGATCGATGGAGAAAATGCAAGCAGCCAAGCTCTGATTTCCTTGCAAATTTTATCTGTTAGTCTAAGAATAAATATTCCCTAGAAAATGTACATGAGCACAAAGTAGAGGGAAGGGTTTTGTATATATGTCTATATATTGTAATACCCTAAGACATTTACCAATAATGTTTATCCCTTTGTACTTGAAATAGCTCATTGTGCCAAGAGACAAACAACTTTTTTTTTTTGGTTGATACAAAGTCAAGGCCTCTCAAAATGCTAGAATTCTGAGGCGAAGCGTAGCAAGTATTACTCAATTGTGTTGAGAGAAGAAACAGTGAAGGTGGGCGCTTGCTCAAGGCTACATAAGCAGTTCAGTCCGAAAGAGGATACAAACTAGAACCGGGAACTCCGAGAACTGCAATCTGTTCTAATGGAAATCCTTTCTAGCCACCCCCCTGATGTCTGCAAGCCACCCCCTGATGTCTGCCCGACCCCGGATTAACACTTGCAGTATTGGACTGCCCTTCCTTTGGTCCTCTCTGCACCACGACCTTCTGCTCTTTAAATAAAAACAGCAATTCCCACCATCACAACCGGCTGTGAGCTTGGTGGCATAACCTGGGTCCTGAATAGTGGCTGGGGGTGGTGGGGGGGTGGGGAGTGGGAACCGGGCCATCGGGATGGTGGCAGTGCTGGGCTGCACCAAAGGGCAGTTGGGCCGCGTTCCGCTACCCACTGCCTCTTGCCAGTGCAGCCAGAACCCTGCAGAGAACCTGCTCTCACGCACCCGGTCCAAGGCAGGTAGGAGAAGATGTCCTGTTTATGCGGGAGATCGGTTCAGGGTTTAGAAAGGACGGGCTAAAATATGAAGACATAACTCAAGACCTGCCAAGGGGGAGTTAGAATGTTCCTGGCCAGGACATAAAGAAACACTCCCCTCCACCAGCCTGAATAAAAGAACACACAGCAGAAATAGTTGGGGGATGACGTCAGAAGTTCTGGGCTAGTGTCCTGCACTTCTCCTTGAAAGTAAAAACAGTGGGTCTAGAAGAATCTATCTACGTGGCATTGCCCTTAATGAAACGAGTGCTTCCACGGGTTCTCGTAAAACACTCAGGAAAACTGGAGAAACTTCATCTTATCTAAAGATTATAAGCACGTCCTCCTTTTTTTTTGTTGTTGTTACTTTTTATTATCTCCCCACATGCACCTATGACTCAATTAGCAAATTGCTTTCCACTGAACCTTTGTCTTTTAAAAGGATAGCAACGCTTCTGGAAGAGCTCTCAGGGTGGTGGTGGTGGTGGGCAGGCAAGTCGGATTTTTTTCTTCGCTCCAGTGCTTGCTAACTATTCTAAAAATGTTACACATTTATTGTAAACACATGCTTCTGAGGCCTAACAAAAAGGCACAGTTTCCTCATGCCTGGCAGAAATTGAAAACGGAAAAGGGCAGAAAGAATCCTTTTACAAATATATCCTCCCCTTGTCTTGGGCCAAGCGTGTTATAAATAAATCTTCTCCATTATTTCTCGGTGCTGTTTCTCGGCAAGAAAGTTGATATGGTTCGGCAGAGTGAAAACACAGCTTTAAAAGCTAGCTGCCCTCATTAAATTATTCTGCTGGCTGTGTGTTCTCATTAAAAATGCATAAAGATCAGATAATTGCAGTAAGCATTATTAACCCAGCTTTACTTTTGAATATAATGTTCCACTTTTAAGCTGGAGACAAAGGCTCCGACATGCCAGGAAAAGAAGTGTAAACATTGAACTACAGTATCCAAAACTTGTCAGAAAGCTACCTCTTGCTAGCTTGTTAAAAATGTGCCTTTGAAACCAAATGAAAGCTGTGGCATTAGCGAGCTAGGTGGATCCCTAATTTCTAACAAATAAATATATTTGGGGGCTAAACATTCAACCAATGATTATTTAGATGAAGTGTTCCCCCTCCCCCCTTAATTACAAGTCTATTTTCACATCATAGGATCCGTGTAAACTTTATTTATTCAGGAGCTAACTATGGCAGTATGAAATTTCCTATAACAACAACAAAAAAGAATGCTCTCAAGAATTCATTTTTGTGTGTGTGTCGAACAACAAATGGATCTAGTCTTTGAATAAAAACTCGTTTTATGCCACACTGCCAAACAGGCGGCATAGATTCAAGCTTTGCCATTTCTTTTTCTCAAATCAAAATGTTACGTAAAACTCCAGGGTCCCCTGCAAGTATTACATTCGAATCAGTGGAATCCAGTTTCCCTGGCTCCCCGAAGCCACACACACGGAATGCAGCATACTGCAGCAAACTCTTTAAACATTCCAAAAAAAAAAAAAAGAAGAAGAAGGAGAAGAAGAAGAGGTGGTGTGGGGGGTGATTCTCCTACCTTGTTTAGCTCTGCCTCTCCTTCCCTTTTACAGTAATCCCAGGAACATCTGGCAGAATCCAGCGGCCCAGGCTTCTCCCCGGCATCCTGAGGAAGAAATTTCCATGTAAATAGTTCCCCTTCCCTGTTTATTGTACTCTGAGCGCCGTCTGCCTTCGCTGGAAAATTTTGCCTTCAGATGATGAAGCAAAGACAGTCTAAACTCTGTTGCTGTAAGCTGCAGCCCTCCCTTCCCACAAATCCCTCCCAGCTGTAGGCAGCCAATCCCCAGCCAGTTCGTCAGCCCTACTCGTCTGAAACTGGCCCTAATAGGATGACTGACACAGCAACACAGCACTTGCAGTGTGTGAAAACAGTGCATCCATACTGATGAAAGAGGAATTTCCCTCTCAGAAGAAAGCAATCATAGCACCCAGACAAAGTGGCACATAATTGGCAGAGCAGAGAGAGGGGTAGCTCGAGAAAACACCCTTGAAGACAGCCAGCCCAAAGCGTGTGGCTGCCCTGGGAATACTTTGAAAAGACAAAACTCCGCAGATCCCAAAGAAATCCAGGTTGCACATGAAACTGAAGTCATGATCCCATTTGACAAAGCTTATGTTTTTAAAAGGAAAAAACAATTCGATGTCTGCCATGGAAAATTAGTACCTTACAAAACATTTACACATGATTTCCATTAGCGAGGGAGAATGTGTTAGCCCAAGTGCATATTCAAAGTCAAAACATGCGTATACCCTCACACACAGCTTTCCTGTACAACATCTGTTATTGCAGTGGTTAATTACTGTAGCCCATATATCTTTCATCTAAGTTTTCAGACCACTGGAGACTTTAAATAGGGAATTCTGAACAATGAAATTGATATCTACACACTACCCTTTTGTGTTCCTGGCAGGCACCCCTGAGATGATTGCGTGTGCCTTAACCGAACCTTAAGGTTTTGTATTAAGAGAGAGGAAACATTGAGGTGGGCGCTTGCTCAAGGCTATATAAGCAGTTCAGGTCAATGCCTTAGGTATCACTTGATAAATTATTTGCATTGGCTCATATCGTCATTAATGAAGCAGTAACTGCACAAAGGTGTTTACTGCTGAACACTCATGGCAAATGAGGCACCATCAGGTGCCACTCCACAAAGGACATTCTAGAAGTGCTGAAGTTCCCTGAGATGAAGCCAGAAAAGAGAAATGGAAAGATTAGTAAGGGTTATTTATTCCCCCCCCACGCCCCCTGCCCTCCAGTCAACAGTACTCCTCATGCTTTGAAGAAGAAAACATATGGCAGTTGGAAAGCATAAAAAGCATACATGTTCCTGCCACTAAACACAACATTTTGAATTTGAAAAAATTGTGTCATGATTACATGATTAGACCAAGGCAGGAACAAAGCCCCATTCATCGGAAAGTTTGAACCTAATGCACTATTGTTTATGAGCAAGTGTTGGGTGCATCTGTAATGAAGTTATACTTGGGGTGAAATGTAACGGTTTCTTTTGATTTTGCCAATTCTATTTTACAAACACAAGGTTTCAGATGATTTTAGGCTATTTTCCACTCAATGCTTTATTCCACTCGAGCCTTATAATCTTTGTTACCCCAATGTAAATCTATCATATATCATAACTTTCAGGCCTCTGTGTGCTATCATTTTCCTGGAAATTTCAATGGTCTCTGTGGATCACACATCATACTACATGTAAGTGAATGATCACAGGTTTATGAATCTCTTCTTCCTGACCTCCCTGATTCCGACTTTGAAACTAACATTCTCTTCATTTTACTCCTGAAATTTTAGTCATTTTTTATTCATTCTCCTATTTTCGTCAAATGAAAGGAAGTTTCGTTGCGTTTTCTTTAGCTAGTCCAGAACTCTGACATATTACTTGGATGACACCAACGCTAATAAGTTGGCTTCTGAGACTCAAGCCTTCCCATGTTCAAGCTCCCTTGTTGCCAGACAGGTTTACCTGTCATGTAAAGTCATGTTCCTCCCATATTCAAACTCTTCTCTCTATAAAATCTGAATTACAGACTTTCAAGATCCTTCATAATCCTGCCCCTCCCTTTCTACACAACTTCTTCCACACTGTTTTCCTAGGTGAGCTTTCTAATGGAGTCATACAAGTTTCTCCAGGACCTGGCTCTGACATTCCATCCCCAGACCTGACTCCCAAGAGCTTCACTTAACAAAATCTTACCCAACCTTTAGATCTCAACATGCCTCCTTTTTCTTCTGTTGCAGCTTTCCTGTTCATAGTGTCTTCCCTGATGTTCTTCTCCTTTGAAAGCATTCTGAACTATTCATCTTACCAGACTATTTTACCCTTAATGATGAGTTGATCTTCCCATCTCAAAAGGCTAGGTTTGTGTAGCACATTAAGACAATGTATGTAAAACATCTACACAGTGGCTGGCTATGATAAATGCTCATTAAATGATGGCTATTGTTCATTTCATTTAGGAAAGTGCCATGCACAAACTTGTTGATTTCATGATTCTTATCTCAAGAATTGGTATCATACAAATCCAATTGCACAAGTCAAAAACTTGGCAGTCATTCTTGACCCTCCTCCTGAAACCATCATAGAAAAATCCATTATCAAAGCCATATTTAGCACCTAAATATTTAAAAAGGTTTTACTTTGCTCCATTTCTACCAATGCACCTTTACCTAAGCTATCAGGGTCTTTCACCATGAATACTGAAACAACCTCTTTGTAAGTCTCCTGTATATATCCTTGACCCCTTCAATCCTTTTTCTATATTTCAGCCAGGATAAATATTGCAAAACAGAATTCTGATTATTCCAAACTCCTTTGCTTAAAACCTTTATTATGTACTGAACTGTGTCCCTTAAAAATTCATATGTCAAAGCCCCTAAATCCCAATGTGATGGTATTTGGAGATGGGGCCTTGGGGAGGTAATTAGGTCATGAGGATGGGGCCCTCATGAGGGGGTTAGTGCCCTTATAAGAAAATACATCAGGCAGAGAGATCATTTCTCTCTCTTTTAGTCAGGCAGGGGCACAGCAAGAAGGCAGTCATCTACAAACCAGGAAGAGAGGCTCCTCCTTTGCATAGTTCATCATCTTCTTGACACTTGAAATCATCAGGCCAGAACCAGAACATGCTGGCCTGCTGATTTCAGACTTCCAGCCTCCAGAACTATATGCAAATAAATTTCTGCTATTTAAGCTATTGGCATTTTATTATGGCAGCTTGAGCTGACTAAACTAAATATTAAATATCATTGAGTTGCTCTTTTAGGAAAGAGATAAAAGTTTTCAACATGGCCTAGAAGGTCCTTTCTATATAGCCTCTGCTTAATCAGAGGCCATTTCTTCATGGAACTCTTTCCTGACCCCCAAGATGAGTTCAGAGGAAATCTGATGTGTTCTCTCACAGCCCTTTGCACTCTAGAGCAGTGCTTCTCAAATTTAATGTACATGCAAATCCCCCAGAGATCTTGTTATAATGCACATTCTATCTCAGTAGTTATTGGGTGATACTGAGATTCTGCTTTGCTAACAAGCTCCCCGGTGATGCTGATGCTGCTGGTCCATAGACTACTCTTTGAGTAGCAAGATTTTGTAAATGTTGGTGACTTTATAGAACTTTTTACAGGACATGACAATACATTTCTTTGGTTAATTACTTAACATCTACCTTCTCAACCACATTGTCAGCATCAGAAGTCACCACTGTCTCTCCAGCATTTAATCTGGTATGTGCCTGGCACATGAGAGGAGATTCTCAACAATAAATGTGTGTTGAATTCATGAATTGATCAATACAACATACTGTAGATCCAAGCTGGGCTTTTCCCCCTCTTCTTCCTCATCTTCTTCTTCCTCCTTCTTCTCTTCCCTCTTCCTTCCTTCTCCTTCTACTTCTTTTTCTCCTTCTTTCTGTATCTTAACATTGAAAGCCTTGAAACTCTGGAAAGAAAATAGAACTATCTTTTTTGACCCTTTAATAAACTTTAAATCATTTTTAAATCAAAACACAACAAGGTCATAACCCTCTATTCTTTCATTATCTTCTGCCCAAAGGGGGCTTTATTGCGATGGCTAAATATTTAAAACTACATGAAAGGTGTCAGCTGAGGCCAAGAGGAGATGTGTGTGAGAAAATATGGGAGCCAAAATTTAAGTGTTTACTGATATCATAATATACTAAATAGGAAGGAGAATGGTTGAGAAACCAAACATAGAACAAGTGTCAAGAAGATGATGAACTATGTAAAGGAGGTGGCTAGAAGAATTAAAAGACAACAACTTTGGTTTTGTCCAATAGAAGTTGTCAATTATCTTCTACAGGTTGATGAACTCAAGATCTGTAACTTCATCCCTTTCTCTTGATCTCTAGGCCCAATTCTTCATAAAATGTACCAGAGATAGATAATTTTCACCATGCCCTAAACTAAAATCATTTTTATTGTATTGAATTACTTTTATCTTATGTTTCCCATTTCCATGAATGGAAACTACCATCTTTATTGTCTATTGCTCTCTCACCACCAACATTCAAATACTCCCAAGTTTTATAAATTTCTACATCTCAAATCCATCTAATTTTCTCCAGGTTCACTGTTGTGTCCCCAGTTCAAGTTCCCACCACCTTTTATCTCTTCTTCACTTCTCTGCCTCCATCCAATCATGCCCCTAACTTTTCACTCTATCCACTACACTGCAGCCAAACTGATATTTTTAAAATACAAATCTTATAATGCCATTATCTGCATAAAATGACTCCCCATTATTGTCAGAATAAATCCCTAGATTAATTCTCAAGTATATTTTCTCACCACTCCTATTGAATTCACTTCCAGCCTACTTCACACCCAGCATTAACATTAATTTTAATCATTAGAATGTGTTATGTTCTTTATACTTTAGAGTCTGGAATCCTTCTGCATGAAACATATTTTTATTACTTTCATACCCATCTAACCTCTTTCCATCAGGCAGTACTCAATGCACACACCATGTCTTGCAGGAAGCCTTCCATGAGCACCATGACTTCCCTGGCACCTTAACATTTTATTCATCATAGCAATTGTCACAGTCTATACTGTAAATATGTTATATTTGTTTATGTACCTCACTAATCTCTGTGAGAGAAGGTACCATGTATTTCTTGCTCATCAGTTTATCCCCAGCACCTAAAGCATGCAGTGATATAATAGCAGATGCTTATGAAATAGCTGTTGA